TTTATCTCTCCTTGACTGTTTAGGGGCCTATCGCACAGACCCAGCATGTCAGTTTTGTATATTTAGCTTCTACCTTCATGACTTCATTTGATAATCCTTCCAAGATGTCAACCCTTCTCACTGCTATCATTGTTTCCTTGATCAATATTGCAATCCCTGCCCCTCCTCTCTATGTCTATAAAAGGGAATGGAGTATAAAGGTAGAGAAGACTTCTTGAAACTCTTTAGGGCATGGGTCAGACCACAGCTGGAATACTGTGAACAATTTTAGGTCCCTTATTGGAGGGGAGGCGGGTAATGTTGGCATTGGGGGTGGTCCAGCGGAGATTCACTAGGCTGATATGGAGGGACTATTTTATAAGAGAAGGTTGAGAGGGTTGGGCCTGCACTCAGTGGACTTCTAAGAATGAGAGGCAACCTGATTGAAACATATGGAATTCGTTGGTGCTTGACAGGGAAGTGTGGGGCAGGATGATTCCCTTGTGGGAGAGTCTGGGACAAGAGATGATCATCTCAGAATGGAAGTTTGCGCATTTGGATGGAGACAAGGGTGAGTTTCTTCAAGTCATGCAACTGTCTGGCGCTTTCCATGGACAAGTTAGTGGCCACCAAGGAGAGTCTGGTACATCAAACTCAGAGTCTGCTGAAAAGGCACACACACCTACACTCTGGCACCCCAGTCTTGGGCATCAAGATCGAAGGCATTATGAGAGAGGGATGAAGAATGTGGTGCAAACTCCAGGTGCTCCTTCCTCACAAGGAGATTAAGGTCAGTAAGTACCTAGCCAGAGGAGGAACCACATGTATCTGTCAGATGTTTCTAACCAGGACACTCCAGAGATGGCCGGCATCTTGACCTTCACCCTGCCTGCTGTCTTCTAACCCTTGGAAGCCCATGCCAAGGAGGATAAACTGACCCGTGGCCTGAAAGCCCACAGCATATCGCACCCCTGGATCACTCAATCAAACTTCCAGGAATAATGGACTCCGCTACCAACCAGGCTTGCTTCACCCAGCTGCAGAGCTAAGGATTACAGTAGGAAATAGAGAAAGGGAGAGGAAGATGAAAACCTTTTGTGGGCAGTTTGATGGTATGGATGACAATGTATGTGACTTTGCAGAGTTTTAACAATGCCACTAATTTTACCTTATATCTGGTTGTTTGTCTATGTCTGTCAGCCCAAATGTGATTCTTTACTCAGAGAGTAGTCAGGGCGTGGAATGCCCTGCCTGCAAAAGTAGTAGACTTGCTGACTTTAAGGGCATTTAAATGGTCATTGGATAAACATATGGATGATAATGGAATAGTTTAGGTTAGATGGGCTTCAGATTGGTTTCACAGGTCGGCGCAACATCGAGGGCCGAAGGGCCTGTACTGCGCTGTAATGTTCTATGATAAAGCATGAGGCATAATTTCATGGCCACAGACAATGACCCATGGATGGCAGTTTGTGCTGAGAACCTACTGCATCATCTGGAAGCAAGAGGGACAAAGCCTATATGGGGTTTTGGATGGTGCTAACACTTCTATCCCTCTTCTTGCAAAATCCTGTTCTTGCACAGCCTCTGTCTCCAAAAGTGTTAGTGTGAATGAATTGGTTGGTGATGTCTATGACTGGGAACACCAACAGGGAGAGCAATGGATGGCAAGGGTATAGAGGCCCCACAGCTCTAAGTTCTGTACAATGCATAGTTCTGTGGTGTGATGTTTTTTTTTCCCTTTAAAAGCCCTAACATTGGTGGGTCCTGCTGCTCTCTCCATCACAGATTGAGTCTCTAACCTTGCTGACCCAAAATTATGCTGTTCTAACTTCCAGCATGATGGAAGGCGATAATGAACGTTCCTTAGCCAGTGGTTTGCAGCCTCCCCCTCAATGTGTCAGTGAACCCCTAAATATCCGAATCCCTGGTAATTCTTCCCAGAAGCCAGTAGGATTCACACCCCACCGAACCCATCTACATGAGCCTGCTCCTGGCCACCTTTCTCTCCCAGCTCTTGGCGTATGACGTGACCATGCCAAATGTGATCATTTACTTCACACAACAACCATTAACCCCACCCCCGAACTTGAAATCAGGTGCTCTTACCCATGGACAGGCTGTCCTTCTCATCCATATGGTCTCTTAAAGAAACTGTTACCACCCCCCATCACAATTTTCATCCCTCTTTCTGCTCCACCTACAGCCCCCAGTCCTGACGGATAACTTACTGGGTCTCCTTCCTGTGGCTGTGGCCACCTTTATACCATCGCCGCTCGCCCCCTCTCCTTCCCCTGCTGCTGCTGTCCCCCCTACCCCCGAACCCACATTGCTGTTCATTTCTATCGACAGAGCCAATGATCTGACTGTGACCCCTCTCACTTCAGTGACCCAACTGGCCAGTCCAGACAAGAAATGCCCAGACTCCTGACTGGTAAATATACATTTCCCCAGTTGCCTTAGCCCTGGCCCCAACTATGGAACCATGGGATTGAATATGATCCACTTCCCAGACTGCAGAGGCATGGACTCCTAATCAAGATTATGCCCGACCGGATAATTGACCATGGCCAATTCCCTGGAGTGTCTTGGGACCCTCTGACTGATGGGTGCTTACGTAGACTTCATTGAGGAATACTCCCTTACTTGTGGCACATACAGTGCATTTCCTGCATAAGCTGCTGGCACAATGGTGCAGATGTGAGATTGATGCAGCACACTTCCGCACAGCAAAATCAATGCCCCTTGACTAAGGACTGCTTGCCAGTAAGACAAGCTGCCTGGTTGTGTGGTTGCATTAATTAACATGGCAAGGCAAGGGAAGGCATGGATGCTGTGAGCACACAAGTGGGTGCTAAGTGAGCGAATGCTAAGAATGCAAGTGAGCAGCTCTGAGACGCAGCCTGGTCCAGTAGATGTTTGCATGTACAAAGTGTCCCTACTATAACTTTTAAATGCTAGCTGCCAATGCACCCTGCAATGAAAGTCTGATTTCAAAGTGCCCTGCCACTGTATTGGAGAGGTGCCATGATAGTCATGAGATGTTGGTGAATGTCAGAATCCGGTGTCCATTGATGAGGGGTGTGTGTGGCTGGTGCTCGGGCATCATGCCCTGTGATGATCTGTGGCCATACATGGCGTGGAGGTCCTTTGCTGCAAGCGGTGAGCTACCAGGTACGCACATAGTTTCTATGTTGGGTTTTCTCACTACCGACCTTGTTTGGTCCATTTGGTAAAAGAAAAAGCTGAATATTAATAAGGTAATTTGTGTCATCAACAAGGCGTTTAACAAGTAATGCTGCCGCTTAATTGACAACTTGCTGCTAACAAAAAACTCACCATGCTACTTGTCAAAAGCAATGGCCAGTGGTATTATCGCTGGACTGTTAATCTAGAGACCCAGATAACGTTCTAGGGACCTGGGTGCAAGTTTGAAATCAATAAATATCTGGAATTAAAGAGTCTAATGATGACGATGAATCCATTGTCGATTGTGGGAAAAAAACCATCTCTGGTTCACTAATGTCCTTAGGGAAGGAAACTGCCATCCTTACCTGGTCTGGATTACATGTGACTCCAGACCCACAGCAATGTGGTTGACTGTTAACCACCCTGTGGGCAGTTATGGATGGGCAATAAATGCTGTCTGGTCAGCAATGCCCTCGTCCCATGAATGAACAAAGAATAAAGAAAAACAAAAGCATAAAAGAAGGCACGAGACACTCTTAATGTGGAGATGGGCCTTGCCGGACTTCTTATTCGACTCTGCCACAAATTTCATCATACCACACATTGCTCAGACTTCCTACATTTTAGTCAATACCTTGGAAGATTGTGGATGCAATTTATTGAACATTGTATTTCCAAATATTCATATATTTCTACATAGATATATGTTTAAAGATTTCCTAATATGCTGACCTCTGGCAAGCACTTTGTACAGCAAAATTTATGACAGCATGAAAAACAGTCCTCTTTGAGAATGTGGGTGCTCAGTGTTCAGAAATTATGGCTAATGGCATTCTATGTGACATTTGACAAGTGTTCTATTAAATCGATCTGGAAAAAGACAATAATGAGAAAGACTCCGAGTAACATGCAATAGAGAGGTTATTCACAGGCATGCATAAATAATTCAAAATATGAATACAAATGCAAAATTACATATGGAACTTGTCGTTTGTCATAAAAACCCATTTTCTAAACAAAAATTATCTTAGAAAATGTTAAGCATCACTGACATTGTTTGCTCAAAATGATTTGCCAACACACCTATTCCATGTGTAATAGATATGACCTATTTATTGCAAAGTGTATTGCAAAGGCACCATGTACAGAGGGAGCAAAGAGGTTTTGGAATAACAATAGCCTAAATGACATTCTGGAACAGTTTGGAGTTTTCGTGCATATATATAGACATTTATTATAAACTATTATTTGTTGTGTTTAACATAAAATACCGTAGGTCTTTTCATATATCTGTTAGCGGTGATTAGCACTACAAAGTATAAGGACATCAAGAATGTTTGAATGATATTGACAAGAAATTATTGTGTCAGCAGTGGTCTTTTTTTTTTGCATATTTTTTGCATATTTTATATGCATTCTGTATGAGCCATGTTAGTCTATCTAAAAACATTTCAGACAAATATACCTATATTACCTGGTATTATAGCTGAGGATATTTTATTACTTACTTTATATGCATGCCTATATATTGCATATCTGAAGGAAATACAGTATCATTTAGAAAACTTGGGCTGCATTAGTAACCCTTCATTTAAATAATGAGTAGCAACGAAACAGGAACATTGTAATCAAGTCATTTTGAATCTGTTGCACACTGGATTAATGCAAATTGTGTTGTCAGCTGCACAAGTCAGTACTATACTGAATATATCACAATGCAATTTAGTTTTGAGGACCTTGTTATTTAAGAAAGTGGTGCTTGAAAATGCTCCTCGTTCTGATTGACTTAATATCACTTAGTGAGAAAACATATATTGTCATTTTTATTTCAGGTCTAACACCACCAACGACTCCTCCGCATAAAGCTAACCAAGATAATCCATTTAAGACTGTGGTCAAATGCAGGATATCTTGTAATTCTTCAGTGCATAGTCCACCACCAAAGAAATCACGCTTAAATGATTCTGCCTCTAACTCTCAACTGAGCAGTCCTATTAAGAAGGGCCCTGAACAGACTGAACTATATGCCCAGCTGAGTAAGACTTCAGCTTTATGCAGTGCACTTAGTATTACCAAAAACGAAGAAAGAAAGATGCAACGATCAAACGCAAGGCTTTTTGGTGACCATGACTACTGTCAGTTCATAAATGCAAAGGCAGAATTATTAAATAACAGAGTGTTCTGCAAGGAACGAGAACCTAAAAGTAGTAAACTCCAAAATCACCCTGAAAGAGAACTCTTGTCAGGGCAGCACAAACAAAACTTTCTTTCTGCTAATGATAAACAAGAAAATAAGATGGAAAATCAGCAACAGGATACACAGCCTATCAACTACTCTAATACCAGGATACAACTGAAAGACCAAGAAATTCGAGCGGAACTAAACAAGCACTTTGGGCATCCCAGTCAAGCCTTTTTTGATGAAATAGAAGATAAAGCAAATCATCAAAGAGAAAAAGACTTTTGTCATGAATATTATTCAAAATTGCCTACCTATCTAAATGCAGGAATGTCTCTTGATGGTGTATTTGATGATAGTGATGATGAGACTGAAAAATTTCTCTACCCGTGGGATGGAACACCTGATGGGTTATTGTTAGAAAGATCTTGTTCTCGATCTCTGTCCAGTTCTCCCTGCAGTGATTCTGTTTACTCACCAAAGACTTATGCACCTTCTCAAGGAATAGTCAGGACAAGGTCTAGATCTAATTCCTACCCCAGACGTAGAGCTTGTTCTCGCTCCCCATATTCTCATTCCAGATCAAGATCACCATACCATAAATCCTCTTCCAGGTAAGTAATTTAATCCTCACCTAATTTGGGTAAATGGGAATGCATTGTGTTGACCAATGTATTTTAAATGAATCACAATAAGACTTGTATGAAAACAGATTTTAACCTTGTATCTTATCCTCACCATATCATTCTATTTTACAGATATATTAGTAAAATTGATAAATGAAATTTTCTGTTTATAATAAAATTGTGTAGATGTTGGTAGTAACGTAATATTATTCTTTCATATGGTATTGTTACAATTCCTAGATGTTGTCAATTTTTCTGTTTCCAAACACTGCCTTTTAGGGCTTCTGTTAGAAATGTGGAAAATAGGAGTGGGGCTATTGAGCCTGCTTTGCCATTCAATGTGATCATGGCTAATATTTCAACTCTGTACCCTATTCTTGCTTTCTCCCCATGCCTTCTTTTCCCTTTCGCCCTAAGAACAATACCTAACTCCTCCTTGAAGACATTCAATATTTTGGGCTCAGCCGCTTCTGTGGTAGACAATTCCACAGGTTTACCACTCTCGAGGTGAAAAACAAATCTCCTTAACTCAGTCCTAAATGGCCTACCCTATATCATTCAACTGTGATCCTTGAATCTGGGCTCCTTACTAATCATGAACATCCTTCGTGTGTTTATCAAGTCTAGTCCTGTTTGAATTTCATAGGTTTCAATGAGATCACTTCTTTTTCTTCTAAATTCCAGTGAATATGGTCCCACCCAAACCAGTTTCTCTTCATTCATCAGTCTCCATCCCATGAATAAGTTTGGTAAACCTTCATTGCACTGTCTGCATAACCAGATTATCTTTCCTCAGATAAGGACACCAGAACTGCACGCAGTGTTCTAGGTGTGGTTTCGTCAAGGTCCCATGTAATTGCAGCAGAATTCCTTCGTTATGAAGGCCAAAGTACCATTTGCCTTCTTCACTGCTATCATGCTTATTTTCAGCGACTGATGTCCAAGGACACTCATGTCTCATTGCAGCTTCCCCTTTCCCAATCTATAACCACTTAGATAATAATTTGCCTTCCTATTTTTTCAATAAAAGCGCATAACCTCATATTTATCCAAATTATACTTCATCCGCCATGCACTTTTCCACTCTCTCAACTTGTCCAAATCAAATTGAATCATGTCTGCATCCTTGTCACAGCTCAACATCGCACCCAACTTTATGTTATCAGCAAATTTGGTGATTGTCCCCTCATCTAAATTATGAATATGTATTAATAGCTGCCTCCAAGCACCAATCCCTACAGTATCCCACTAGTCACTATCACTCAGAATAAAACACGTTATTTCTTCCTCTTTGGTTCCTGTCTGCCAACTAGTTCTCTATCCATATCACTTCACTGCTCCCAACTCTACGCATTTTAATTTTACAGGCTGATCTCTTTTGTGGGACCTTATTGATAGCCTGCTGAAAGTTGAAATAAACCACATCCATTGGTTCCCCCTTGCAACTCTACTGGTTAGATCCACAAAAAATTCCAGTAGATTTGTCAAGCATTATATCCCTTTTATAAATCCATGACAACACTGTTTAATCCGGTCTCTCGTTTCCAAGTGCCTTGTCAATAAATCTTTGATAATGAATTCTAGCATTTTCCCCTTATCAGTGTCAGGCTAAACCTCCAATGTTGCAGCTTGGATAAACTCATTGGCTGGTTTTAAGGCACGTGTGCAGACAGTTCTGAAGAAGGAAGGCTATATTAAATCTAACGGGTGGCCTGCTGGCTCACTAACAGCTTGCCTGATCATCACAGTTACTCCAGCATGGATTACTACTGTGCAGCAGCCCTCCAATAGGCTAATAGTAGCCCTTAAGTTGCCAACTATTGCCCACTTAGCTGTCCCATTGCACTATCGCCAACAATTAGTCAGCAATGGGTGAGGCTTACACCAAGTCACTAGTCCTAAACAGGCTAGCGACATACAGATTGGGGTCTCTTAATGAGTACCTTGTGCACCCCAATGTTTTACACTCTCCCCTCGACCCCAGTTTGCCCTCCCCCGGTAGCCTCTGGTGTTCAGGTGTTATCAAGAACTGTCTTCTTTCTGCCTTCAGAGAGGGTGCTTTCTTACTTTGAGTTGGATTGTTAAGGCTGATTCTGTGAGCTTTCTATTCTGAAGCAGTATTATAGTTTGTAACAACATTTGTCATTAAAGGAGTTGTTCATTAGGCTGCTGATCTGAGCACAGCATAGCATTAGCTATCACTAAAGAGGGAACATAAGATAGTATTAAATGCAAAATTGTTCGTGGGACAGGTGATATGTTCTGTAACTATGGTATAACCCAAACAAATTTGTACTAATAGTCATTTAGTACTAAACTTCATTATTAATGAAAAAGACACATCTTGTTGAAACTTCTCATCCTCCGTTCTTCAGGTCAATTCACAAGAATACCAATAAAAAGAGGAAAAAAACATTTTTAGACTGTATGAGAAGAAAGTGCTGATTGGTTGGCAAATAGACTCTGGTTGTTAGAGATGTTGCCATGGTGAATGCTCCAGTTAGACAATAACTAACAGTTACTTCGTCAAATTATGTATGAATTTAAACCAGGCAGGTTGATTCTGGTTGCTCAAGGCATTGCCCAGATGAATGAATCAGAGAATGGTTGTCACCTGTTTTAGAATAATAGAATTACACAGTACAGAAGAGGTCCTTTGGCCCATCAAACTTACATCGACAAAAGAAACTATTCCAAATCTTCACTAGTCCCATCTTTTTATACAAGGCCTGTAGCCTTGAATGTTATGACATTTCAAGTGGACATCCAAATACTTTTTAAAGGTTGTGAGGTTACCCACCTCAGCTACTCTCCCAGGCAGGGCATTCCAGATTCCCACCACCCTCTGGGTGAAAATGTTTTCTCCAATCCCCTCTAAACTTGCTTCCTTTCAACTTGAAATCATGCCCCTTTACTATTGATCCTTAAACTAAGTGGACACAGCAGCTTGCTATCTACCTTGTCCGTGTCCCTTATAATTTAATACATCTAAATCAGGTCCCTCTTCAGCCTTCTCTGCTCTCAGTAGATCAATCCGAGCTTATCTAGCTTCTCTGAATAGCTGAAATGCTCCATCACAAGAAATATTCTGGTGAATCTCCTCTTCATTTCCTCCAACATAATCACATCCTTCCTATTGTGTGGTGACCAGAAGCGCACATAGTACTTCAACTGTGACCTAACCAAAGTGCTATACATCTCCAACAAAGCCTCCCTGTTCTTATAATCTATGCCATGTCTGATAAAGGCAAGTGTCCCATATGCCTTCTTAGCTACTCCAGTCCTGCCACCTTCAGGGATATGCCAACAAGCACCCCAAAATCCCTTTGTTCCTCTGAGCTTTCTAGTGTTCTGCCATTCATTGAATACTCCCTCATCTTGTTACTTCATTCAAAGTGCATCACCTCACACTTTTTAGTGAATTCCATCTGCCACTGATCGGCCCATATACTGACATAGTTAACTGGAAACACCAAAATTGTTTATAAACACACAACATAAATAGGCTTGCACAAAACTAAGGATATTAGGATAAAATTCACCTACCATATTTGGTTCAATTATTTTTAGTAATGATATATTGCTGTCAAAAATAAACACTTTGTTGTTCTTGATGTAGGTTGCAAAGTATATAAAAGTAATGATCAAAAACATCAAGTATTGACTGTATTCCTTTACCTTAGCTGTTTAAATTTAAAGGGATTATTAAAGCTTTCCTGATAAATCCGGAGTCCCAGTATAAAACTTAAGAAATTATGTATGTGCTGCAATGAGTGTTCGGCTCTGGTAATATTGGCCCTGTCAGAGTTGGTTACTAAAACATTGTGCCATTTGTGCTCTGAAAGCATGATACGGATGCATGAGTTTGACATCATTATCAAGTGATGTACTCAACCAGCAGTAGAATTGACAACAAAGAGAAAGAGAGAGACAAGGAGGAAAGAGCTTTGAGTGCACGTCATTAAGCCCTGCAACATTTTATGGTAAACCTGCACAGACTACAGCAAATTAAATGTCCTTTCCTGATAAACATATTTTATTAATTTATATATAAACTTACTTCATATTAAGAATGTTTTCTTCGGAGATAGGATGGGACTTTTTTTTAACCCTGTTCCACTTGAGAGACTTTTTTTTAACCATTGATCTTGTGGTGCTTGTCTTTGGTAAGCAATGATTAGCATCGTAAGCAGTGTATGGAGATTTCAGAAAATAATGTTTCTCCCTTCCTCTTATAACGATGATTCTTTGTCAGCCAAGATTTCAGGTTACCCATTTAATAACATGCCCCAATCAGCATTCTTCATACCTGAGCCTGGCTGATGAATGGCAGCTGGCTGTTACTCCCTGAAAGGCTTTGCAATTTCAGCTTATCCTATGTATATGTCTTCAACCATACACCTTATGGAATTACAGAAATCACCAGAAAGGTGGGAATCCTGATAATTTTATCTCTTTGTTCACACAAGATACTCTTTTTCCCAAAGCGGGTATCAATTGATTCAACAAAGGCCGAGGATTGAACTTACATCTCCTAGTGTGCATTGTACATTTACTTACAAGCCATTGGAAGAAGTATAATTTGATTTGATTTGATTTATTATTACCACATGTATCAAGATATATTGAAAAGTATTGCATTGTGTGAGAACCAGACAAATCATACTTTACATAAGTACATCAGGGAAATAGAACTGAATGTATAATATAGTGTTACAGCTACAGAGAAGGTGCAGAGAAAGATTAACTCTAATATATGAGAGGTCCATTCATCAGTCTGATAACAGCAGCGAAGAAGCTGTTCTTAAATCCGTTGGTACGTATTTTCAAACTTTTGTATCGTCTGCCTGATGAAAGAGGTGTGAAGAGAGTATGACCGGCTTGGGAGGGTCTTTGATTGTGTTGGCTGCTTTCCTGAGGCAGCAGGAAGTGTAGACAGTGTTAATGGGAAGAAGGCTGGTTTTTGTGGTGGACTGGGCTGTGCTCACAACTGTCTGTAATTTTTTGTGGTCTTGGGCGTAGCAGTTGCCTTTCCAAGCTGTGGTGCATCCGGATAGGATGCTTTCTATGGTGCATCTATAAAAATTGGTAAGAGTCATTGTGGACATACCAAATTTCTTTGACTTCTGAGGAAGTAGAGTGATTTCTTGATTTTAGCATCAATGTGGATGGGACCAGGATAGATCATTGGTGATATTTAACTCCTAGGAACTTGAAGCTCTCAACCACCTCCACCTCAGCACAATTTATAGACAGGGGCATGTCCTCCACTCCATTTCCTGAAGTCAATGACCAGCTCCTTCATTTTGCTGATGTTGAGGGAGAGATTATTGCTTTACACCATGCGACTAAACTGTCTCCTTTCTGTACTCTGCCTCATTAATGCTTGAGATCCAACTCACTACGGTGGTGTTATCAGCAAATCTGTCAGCGAACTTAGAGCTAAATTTGGCCGCACAGTCGTAGTGTATAAGGAGTATTCTAAGGGGCTGTGTACGCAGCCAGGGTACCAGTGTTCAAGATTATTATAGAGGAGGTTTAGTCGCCTATCCTTAATATTTGTGGTCTATGGGTCAGGAAGTCAAGGATCCAGTTACAGAAGGAGGAGCAATGTCCTCGGTGTTGGAGTTTGGAGATGAGTTTTGTTGGAATTATGGTGTTGGAGGCAGAGCTTAAGTCAATAAATAAGAGTCTAATGTAGGTATCCTTGTCTTTCAGATATTCCAGGGATGAGTGTAGGACCAGGGCAGTGGCATCTGCTGTGGACCTATTATGATGTTAGGCAAATTGGAATGGGTCAAGGCAATCTGGGAGGCTGGAGTTGATGTGTGCTGTTACTAACCTCTCAAAGTACTTCATAATGATGGATGTCAGAGCCATTGGGAAGTAGTCATTAAGGCATGTTGCCTGATTATTTTTTGGCACCGGATGACAGTGGTCTTCTTGAAGTAGATAGGAACCTTAGATTGGAGTAAGGGGAGGTTGAACATGTCTGAAAATACTGCTGCCAGGTGGTCCGCACTGGATCTGAGTGCACGGCCAGGGACTCCATCCGGGCCAGTCGCTTTCTGTGGGTTCACCCTCAGGAAGGCCGATCTGATATCTACGGCAGTGACTGTGGGTACAGGTGCACCCGAGGACGTCAAGGCAATGACATAATTTCACTGACTTCCTATTTAAAACAAGCATAGAATGCATTGAGCTCATCAGACAGGAATGCATTGTTGTCAGTGATTCTACTAGACTTGCTTTGTAGTCTGTTATATCATGTAAGCCTTGCCACATTCGAACTGTGTTTGTGCAATTAGTCTGGGACTCTAGTTTAGTCCAGTATTGCCTCTTGATGTCCCTATTGGCTTTACAGAGATCGTACCTAGATTTCCTGTATAGGTCGGGGTCACCCTACTTGAACGCCTCAAGCCTGAACCTCTTTAGGGAGTGGATCTTCCGGTTCATCCATGCTTTCCAGTTGGGGTACACTCAGATTAATGTGTTTGGCAAGCAGTCCTCGACACACTTACTGTTGAAGTCTCATTTAGGTTGGCTGCTGAATTCTTGATTATGGACCAGTGCACTGACTTCAAGCAGTCATGTGGGAGCTCACCTGTTATCTCAGACCAGCAATATATGACTTTCTGTACCGGATCCTCATGCTTCAGTTTCTGCTTGTAAGCCAGGAGAAGGAGCTCAGCCTTATGGTCCAATTTATCAAATCTTGGTAACACACTCTTAAGTTTGGTGTGTTTGAAGTCACCAGCTACAATGAGCAAGGCATGGGGATATTTCATCTCAAGGCTATTTGTGATGTGTATATTTAATCAAGTGCATGCTTCACTTCCACATGGGGTAGGATATAAATATGATTTAGGCAAATTTTAATGTTCTTTTATTATTCCCCTCCATTAATACCTTTTCCATCATGATGATATACCCCAGTCCTGAGGCAATCAGTTTTCAGTTTTACAGAGTAACAAGGTAGCTAAAAGGTGTCCCAATATTTTCCAGCCTGCTGCTGTGAAATTGCTCAGTCTCTGCTCACTATGTCCCTTATGGTTCAGCTGCACACGTGAAGAGTTAAATCCCATGCCTTGCTTTCCAACGGGTTCATAAATACTGAATAAAAGTTATACCTTAAAAATATACTATTAGTGTTATTTTCATGATCATATATTTGCATTTATTTTGCTTTATAGATCACATCACTGCTTTGATTCAGGGAGCGTTAGAGTACAACACAGATCTCATGGAAGTCCCTGCTCATATTCAAGGTCACGCTCCAGGTCACCTTACAGCCGCTTTAGTAGACCCAGGTGAGAGAATATAATAGTGTAGAACCTGTTAATGTTTTCCATTGAGCCATTTTTATTTAGCACGCTTCCCCCTCCTAATGTTGAAGCAATGAGATATATTAATATTTCATTGAGAACTCCAGGTTGGTGCTTGACCAGAAAAATGTACTGAATAATCAAAAAATAGCTTCCTTGATAAAATCAGAGTTAATAAATTTTAACTTTGGACAGATGCTCTATAATTTAATGAATGTCTAACTTAATTCTCTGAAATTATTGTCTATACATGTGTTTTGCTATGTTGAAACATAGCCTGTGTTATCTGCTATATCTAGGAGATAATGTAGGTATAGTGTCAAGTGACATAATTACTGAAAACAGCATTTGGTACTTGAGTATTTAATTGATTGAAAAGAATAATTGCCCATTTGTCTGTGATGTATTTTCTTTGGCTACCCAATGTATTGCTAGTTATTCTCCACTTGCCTTTCATCTTGATTCAATAACCATACTTCAAGGACCGCAACTTCCCCGACTCAGTGAAAAAGTCGAGAACGCCCTCGACCGTATCTCCCGCATTTCCCGCAACTCATCCCTCACACCCCCTCCCCGCAATAAAAACCAAAACAGAATCCCCCTCGTCCTCACGTACCACCACACCAATCTCCGGATCCAACGCATCATCCACCGACACTTCCGCCATCTGCAATCCGACCCCACCACCAAAGACATTTTTCCCTCCCCACCCTTATCTGCTTTCTGGAGGGACCACTCTCTCCGTGACTCCCTTGTCCGCTCCACACTCCCCTCCAGCCCCACCACACCCAGCACTTTTCCCTGCAACCGCAGGAAGTGCTACACCTGCCCCCACACCTCCTCCCTCACCCCCATCCCAGGCCCTAAGAAGACTTTCCACATCAAGCAGATGTTCACCTGCACATCTGCTAATGTGGTATACTGCATCTGCTGTACCTGTTGTGGCCTCCTCTACATCGGGGAAACCAAGCGAAGGCTTGGGGACCGCTTTGCAGAACACCTACGCTCGGTTCGCAATAAACAACTGCACCTCCCAGTTGCGAACCATTTCAACTCCCCCTCCCATTCCTCAGACGACATGTCCATCCTGGGCCTCCTGCAGTGCCACAACGATGCCACCCGAAGGTTGCAGGAACAGCAACTCATATTCCACTTGGGAACCCTTCAGCCCAATGGTATCAATGTGGATTTCACAAGCTTCAAAATCTCCCCTCCCCCTACCGCATCCCAAAACCAGCCCAGCTTGTCCCCGCCTCCCTAACCTGTTCTTCCTCCCACCTATCCCCTCCTCCCACCTCAAGCCGCAACCCCATCTCCTACCTACTAACCTCATCCCGGCCCCTTGACCTGTCCGTCCTCCCTGGACAGACCTATCTCCTCCCTACCTCCCCACCTACACTCACCTTTACTGGCTCCATCCCCGCCTCTTTGACCTGTCTGTTTCCTCTCCACTATCTTCTCCTCTATCCATCTTCTATCCGCCTCCACCTCTCTCCCTATTTATTTCAGAACCCCCTTCCCCTCCCCCATTTCTGATGAAGGGTCTAGGCCCGAAACATCAGCCTTCCTGCTCCTCTGATGCTGCTTGGCCTGCTGTGTTCATCCAGCTCTATACCTTGTTATCTCAGATTTTCCAGCATCTGAAGTTCCTACTACTTCTGATACTCACTTGTTTCTTGTCGCCATAATGCCTCTGAGTCCTCTCACTTTAGAATCACTAAATGTGTGCACTTAGCTCCCATTATACACCTGCAGATGTGTCTCAGGCTCCCACCTCCTCCTTTCTGTTTGATCTAATAAAATGGCAACAACAATCAAGAAAGATTAATCAACCTATTGATAAGCATATCTGTACCAACTCACTCATGGTGTGATAGCAATCTGTTCTCATTGCTTAAAGAAAACCCAGGTAGTCTTGATGTTTACCTCACTGTGGGGGCAGGAGAAAATAGGGTTACTTTAAGGAGATAATAAAAATCAGTTACTGGACAAATTATGGAACACATAAAGTATGAAAGAAGGGAAAACAAAAAAAAAAAGCTTGTCCATTGAGCAAGTGTTTCAAATTCTTGACATGTCAGAAAACAGGAATTAGATGTTCTATGCATGCAGGCAGCTGTTAGTGTACAGTTCTGTAAAAAGGCTACATTCAATCCTTCACATTTGGTCTGTCTGGTGTGTACAAGAGCTCTTTGTGAAACACACTTGGACATATTGAACTGAAGTCCAAATAAACATGAAGCCATAACAGGAAGCAAATAATAGTGTGTCCCAATTGGTACCACATTATTAATCTTGTTCCAAGAAACTACAGGGAATTGATCTTTAAGAAAGAAGGTGCAATAAAATATATTTACTTAAGTTTTCAAATTTCACTGCTTGTTGTTACAAAGAAAAGGGAACTTTGAAATAAAAATGATATATATTGGAAATGCTCAGCGTGTCAAACACTACCTGACGAGAGATTAAGGAAAGTTTGAGAATGCTGGAGAAACTCAACATGTCTGGCAGTATTTGATGAGAGAGGAAGAGAGCCCAAAGAGTCTTCTTCAGAACTATTCTTCAGTTTTCCAGTATTTTGATTTTTGTAATGTGAACTTCATTAGATATTCAATCTATTTTATACACAATGCTGAAACAGAGTCCCAAGGTGAAAGATGATCAATTCTTTAACATTGATATCCCAAACTTTGATGAGTACAAGAACTTATTGAAACATAAAACATTAAAGGATTGACTGATGTGACAAAGCAAAGTTATTGTGATGGTACAGCTCTCCATGGACTGCTGATTTTTAAGTCGTTGATAGATTTCTGCTGGTTCAGCACCTTAAATTATGAGAAAATGCTGAGAAGATTATTTGAAGTTTTCTTTTGCAGGTTATTTTCTGTGTAATGTAACTGACCTACTTCGGTACTGCTTGATCAATACTGTAAGTTAATCAGTGGCAACAGGATGAAATAGGTTCTGCTAGTGGGAAAATTATTGTTTTAGTGCATTCCATGTAAGATCTGGATAGAAGGTGCTGAAACAAATTCTAGTACTTAATTTACAACAGAGAGTACCTAATGAGGTGAGGTTGGTGTTTTGGTACCTTGTTAATGGCCCGTGGTTTAATGGAATGCAACACCATCTCAATGGTTCCCTGCTCTGTAATTGTTTAACAGCTGGATGACCAGAATGTGGCAACGAACGAGAGGGTAGGCATTTCACAAAGGGAATATTGCAAGGATTATTATTTGTGGCTAGCAGAAATAGCAAAGTCAAATTGTGTGTTACTCTTTCAACTGGAGATTAGGGAATATTCTATCCTGGAAGTCTGTAAGGTTCAATTGTTAAGTATATACAAGGTAGAAATTTATATATTTTTGGACATTATACTCATCAAGGGATAAAAGGGTAGGGTGGGAAGCTTTCTTGAGGTAGAAGATGACCTTAAAATTTCCTGAGTTGTGGAGCAAATTCAACGCGTGGTCCTATTTATTGTATTCTTATTTCCTTATCTACAAGTAAAGCTTATCCAGTGTACCTAGTTTTAGGATTGCTAATTCTTAAAACCCCACTTCAACATCAATAGAATATCCAACCTTAGACCAACTCAAAACTCACCACATCACAAATTCCAAGCGCAGTTATTTGCTTAAAACATGCAAACTTCTGCAGCATTTATGGCCTGAGGAGAAGTAGAGGAATTTCAGAATGTTTTCTTGCCAATTTGTTATAGGTTTTTAATTCTGCCTGTAATCATTTGGAATGCCAAAGGGAAAACTTCGTTTTTGTTTCCAATTAGGACACTGTCAAGTAAAACCCACCTGGTTGAGGGAGTTGGACATAGGGGTTCATAAGGTCAAAAAAAAAAGCTAAGACTCCCAAATCTGGTCATTTTTTAACAGGGCGGTGTCACATCATTTATAAGAGACTGAAGACAGTTGCAAATGGCTGGGGAAGGGGTGAACCTGGCATCAGCACCCACCTTCCTAACTCATTTATGAGGACTAGAGTTTCAACAGTAAGGGATAACCAAACACTTCTCAGAGCCAGGCTGCCCATTAGTTCAATGCACATGAAGTCCTTTCCATTGACATGGCAACTCATGGTCATCCTACAGGGCACCAGACGATGTGATTACAAGACAATTACAGGGATTGCAACTTGAGAAATTTCACCACAGTCCTTTGAGAAATATTTACCTCTTAGTTTGAAGTTCAAGGAAAAGTCATATTGCAAAATCTGCTAAATACTTCAAAGATCATTGTGAGATTTATCCCCAAGAATTTTCTTGTGGCATTTTCCACTCTACTGCTGTAAATTTATTGTATCTTTAGCTTATACTTGAAAATTATGCTGCCTTTGAAGTTATGATGGTTGAATGCGAGAATCCGTAAAGGCATTCATTCTCACCCTGAGCATCCTAGTTCAGCTTTGAAATGTACTTTATTATCTATTATTTAGTAAGAATTTAAAACCTTTGTGATATGGGAAAATTATATTAATGTTAAATGAAACGTGTTGCTATGCAATACACTATGTGCACAATTTTGACTTAACATTTTTAATTTGTTCCATTACAAACTACATTTATTCAGGTATGACAGCTATGAGGAATATGAAAGTGAAAGGATGAAAAGGGAAGAATATCGAAGAGACTATGAGAAACGTGAATTTGAAAGAGCAAAGCAAAGGGAGCGACAAAGGCAAAAGGCAATTGTACGCGTTGTTGTAGCTTTTATTCTAACTAGAAATGCTGTAAATATAAGAACCATGACTTTTTGATTTCCAATGATATTTTTAAAATCTTTCCAGGAAGAACGTCGTGTTATTTATGTAGGAAAAGTCAGAGGTGATATAACCCGTACCGAACTGAAGAGACGCTTTGAAGTTTTTGGTGAAATTGAAGAATGCACTGTCCATTTGCGTGAAGTTGGGTAAAGTTAGAAATGGCTATATTTCACACAGTAAATGTGTTCCCGATTAAATAAAATCCTGTTTATTTTAAGAAATTGATGATGCGACATTTGTGGAATCTCAGGCTTGGAAATAGAATTGACTTGTATTAACTTGCAAGTGACTAACAAGCTTAAAATTCCCTCCAGTCATCTGTACTCAGTTTCATTTACATGAAGAAGTTGAAATATGGGCACCAAACAGGCCTCCCAAAACACATTAAGGCTGACCAATATTCAGGCATCAACAGGATAACTGTGGTAGTGGAAGTCAAGGCCTTAGTGACTATGACCCAGATTATTTTTGTGCATCCTTGAGAAGTGCTTTTGTTCCTCCAGGCAACACCAGAATAACATTCCTTGGCTAGAGCTCCTCAATTTAATTATCAGTGGGTATGTTGGGAATATTCGTGCTGCATGCTCCAACCATTTTCAGTGATAAATAAAAATTTAAATTCTAGGTGGTCTATCACCTGAAATAGATAGATATTTAAGGCATTCAATGGTAGGTCTCTTTCAGAGTGGCAGCAATCACATTGTCAAGGTTAAAAAAAACGCTACCTACCTACAGAATCTATTTAGAGGCTGATATTACCTTATTAAAGCCAGACAAAACGAATTAAAATAGATCCTAGAGCATGTAGATATCTTTTCACCTATCCCAAGTTCCACGACCACACTCAGTAATGAAGAGGGCCTTCTCTCTGTGTTCTGTTGAACATTTCTCCCACAGACAACTTGATTGAAAACGAATTAACTAATTAGTAATTTCATTAACAATTTCGGGGCTTTTCTGTCTGAGTAGTTGCTTCTATTGGCACCAATTAATACATATTTGAGTTCATACCCTGCTGCTGAATACATTGCTGTAAAACACATACTACACTGATGGGCAGCCCTGTAGTCACTTGAAGCTCTTAGAGAAGGATGCTATGCCCCTTTCTAGGGAGAAAGTACCACCTCCAAGAGCTGCTGGCCATTTGATTTGCCTGCAGGCCTCTGGTCATGCTGGAGCCACCAGAATGTCCACTCTCAAAGACAAAGAACCAAGAACTAGATGACAACTACATTTTTTGAGAGCAGGTTGTCTGCAGGGTAGGTTAAATGACCTGTTGGATCAAGGTGAAGGGAGTGGGAGATAGGATGCACATGCTGTGTGGTGTAAGGGTCAGATCTTGAGGTGAGGGTCTTTGATTAGAAGAGGGGGCTATGAAGGAGACACAATCTGCCTGTCTCATTCAAAGCCCACGTAGGGTTATCTGGCTGAAAAATTATAGCCAGGTAGGATGTGGCTCTTAAGTGACCACTTAATTGACCATTTAAGAGCCACAACTGGTGTGAGTGTGCATAGGCTATTTGAGGCCTTGTCCACCAGCTTTTAAGTCATGGCCTGGTTATGGTGGATAGGTTGGTGGAACCTGAAAGCCTGCCCATAGAGGACTGTAAAATTCTGCTGTGTTTGCCTTGGCAAAGCACTTAGTTTTTTTTTATTCATTCATGGGATGTTGGTGTCTCTGGCTAGGTCAGTATTTATTGCCCTTCTCTACTTGCCCAGAGAGCAGTTAAGAGTCATTCTCAATGCTGTGCATCTGGAATTACATATTGGCCAGGCCAAGTAGGGATGATTCATCATATGTGAAGTATTTCACAACCTCTTTCTAAGAGAAACGAAACTTCCTTTATTGCCTGACAAATGAAAACTCACTGGATTGTGTTTTGTCTAACATATAATTTATGAGGCTTTTCATAGTGAGTGACATGAATTACTTTGCTGTAATTCTTTTCAGTGACAACTATGCTTTCATCACATATCGTTACACCTGTGATGCATTCGCTGCCCTTGAGAATGGACACACTTTGCGAAGATCCAATGAGCCCCCTTTTGAATTGTGCTTCGGTGGCGGCAGACAATTCTACATGTCTAACTATGCAGATCTAGGTGAGATTACAGTAAGACACAGTGTTTCTAGTGTGTTCAAAGTATGGATATCTGAGTTAAATGTAGCTTTGAATTACTATTATTTTCATGTTGTGATTGTACAATGGCTTTACGAGGTGTACTTTGTCTTTTTTTTAATGAAAAGAGGTTGAGACAGAGGTGTCGAGCATTCTTTTCCAAGCCCATAAAGTAAACATCTTGTGAGATCATGGTTTTTTTGAAGTTGGAACAATAGAAGCAGCATGAAGGGTTGGGATCAAGCTCCCACAGAACCAGGATTTTCATTTAACTTTCAATAAAAGTTGGGATTTGATAGCTGTTATACATCAATCCCTGCTACAGTGAAATGCTTGAGTTCTCTCTCTCTCTGTCTCTGAGTTTTTTCTTGATGTTCTTTCCTCCTGGAGAGTGACATGTGAGACAATCTATTTTACTGAATTTGCCTTTGTCAAGGATGGGTTTATGGGATGTTACTATATTGGAAAAGTTTCCCTTTAGTAGTTAACTCATTTATTATTCTGTAAAGTTTTCCAATAGAGTTAAGTAATTCCAATTTTTTTTTGTATTTTTTCTATAGTTTAAGAATAAAGTGGGTTTTGCTTCAAGTTTTGTTATTTGACCAATCAAATTGCATCCAGAACACAAGGCCTTACACTTGTCTTTAAAAATAAGAAAAAGTTGAGATCTAGGCTAGCTTCTTAATATATTTTGCTGGGGTTTGGCCTGGTTTGTAGCAATGCTGTCTGGTTTAATTATGCATAAATATATGTTCAGTAATAGAAAATCATAATGAGTCATTAGAAATTTTTGTAATATATCCTGATAAAATATTACCTTACAATTAAGTTTAGGAGATATCAAAAGTTGGCTCACATGTTGAACGTATTATCATACGTCACCAAGCAGAACTTTGGAATGCCATAAGTTCTAACAATAATTTGATTTAATGTTACTGGCTAATTGCCAGTTGGGCTAAATTTTACTTACAGGGCAAGATTTAGGAAAGGCACATTATGCTGTGTTGAAGGAAAGAATAGCTGTGATAACAGTAGGAAACTGAATTATTTTTATTTCAGAGAAGAGCCATAGGAAAGTCTTCTATAGCTCTAGAGATTCAAGGAGTGTTGTTGGTAAAGTGAAACTCAAATAGCTAATTAAGGGTATTCCTAGAGAATTTAATCCCTTAAAAAGTATTCCATTACATCTAAAAGATTAGTTTACGAGGGATTTAAAGACAAGTATAAAAATCAGCTGACAATAACTAAAGTTAAAGTCACTGCAGTCTAACACATAGAAACAGAAGCAGGTCAGGCCACTTTTCAAGCCTGTATCACATTCGGTATGATCATTAATCCCAGTACCCTCTTCCCACTTTCTCCCTATACCCTTTGATCCATTTAGCACAAAACTAAATCTGACTCCTTCTTGAAAACATTCAATGTTTTGGCCTCAACTGCCTTCTGTGGCAAAGAATTTCACAGGTTGACTACTCTCTGAATGAGGCAATTTCTCTTCATCTCAGTCCCATAGAATCATAGAATCCCAACAGTGCGGAAACAGGCCCTTCGGCCCAACAAGTCCACACCGACCCTCAGAGCATCCCACCCTGACCCATCCCCGCATAACCCACCTAATTTACACATCCCTGAACACTACGGGCAATTTAGCATGGCCAATCCACCTAACTTGCACATCTTTGGACTGTGGGAGGAAACCGGAGCACCTGGAGAAAACCCACGCAGACACAGGGAGAATGTGCAAACTCCACACAGACAGTTGCCTGAGGATGGAATCAAACCCAGGGTCCTGGTGCTGTGAGGCAGCAGTGCTAACCACTGTGCCACCGATGGTCTATCCTATATCTTTAGACTGTGACCCCTGGTTCTCGACTCCCTTGTCATTGGGAATTTTCTTCATCTGCTTTCTCATTAGACAGAGAACTGGTGGTGATCCTCACTTTAAATTCTCTCACGCAAGCAAGGGGCTAGGTCGAGAAATTGATCCTCTGCCAACCTTTCATGCTGCTTTTAAAAAAAAACCCAAGGCCTCACAAGATGTTTACTTTATTGGCTTGGAACAGACCGCTTGAAACCTCTGTCTCAACCACTCTTCATTAAAAAAAAAGACAAAGTACACCTCTTTAAGCCATTGTGTCATCACAGCATGAAACTAGCCATCCAACCAACCATGCCATAATTAGGAATGTGGCGAATCATATTTAAATGAGGCTTTTGTCAGGAATCAGTGAAAACAACGAAGAATACATTGGTTCTTTGAGAGATTGTCAGGGCAAGTTATTTTGAACATAAAGATAAGGCTAATAAACAAATTAGACTGAGACTAAAATATTGTGTTTCAAGCAGTGCAGTTTCTGCATATAAGTACAGAAGTCAATACAGTGTGGAACTGGAGGAACACAGCAAATCAGGCAGCAGCAGAGGAGCAGGATAATTGACATTTTGGGTCAGGACCCTTCATCAGGATTCATGAAGTTCTGATGCTGCCTGACTTGCAGCTCAACACAGTATTGACTCTGACTTCAGCGTCTGCAGTTCTTGCTGTCTAGGAGTACAGGAACTGGACAAGAATTGGACAGGACCTGAAAAAGCAGAGTCGTGGCCTCTGCCAGGATTTTCAACCTGGAACCCGTAATCACAAATTTAACTTGCTGGGATGATGTGTTGACACAGAATCATAGTCCATAGTTTATCCCAAATGTAGCTTTTGATGTTAGAGGTGATGCTATACAGAAGTTTCCTTGCCTGGCCTAGGTCAAATCAAGCAGTCTGTTCTGCCAGTTTGTGATGCAGAGTGATGCTAACAATGTGGGTTCAATTCCTGCACCATTTGAGGTTACCATAAAGGAGTCTCCTTCTCAACTTCTCCCCTCAGCTGAGGCGTGGTGACCTTTTTGTCAAGCCATCACCAGTCATGTCTCTCTAATGAGAGAGCAGCCCTATGATTCCGATAGGACTATGGCAATTTTAACTTTCACTCCCAACTCGATCAGATGACAGCCCTATTCCCTGTTCTATATCCACAAAATAAATGTTGGCATTGTGAAGAAATTAGTCCACACATAAAAGGGATAAAATGAGTGGGACTTAATAAGAAGAGCATGGCTCCTGATGGAAGCCCAGGAAGTGAGTGACATTTCTGCTTTTGTGTCAATAGTTGCAATGCACCCTCATACACAATGAAAATTTAAAATGAGTGCATTGGAAACTTATCCCAACTGTAATCACACAATGGGATTCATTCTTAGCAGGCTGCTTCATCAGCTGATCGTGTCAGAGTTGCAACAATACATAGTTGTTGTTAGAGAAAATTTTTTAAAATATTGAGCTCAAAGGTGGTGGGCGTGCTGAGGCACTGTTATGGTATGCACATATGTACCAATATTTTAATACTTTTATTTGCTTGACTAAAGTGAGTGCATAATGTGCATTTATTGGTCCTTTGGAGGACAATTTGCACTGTTCTAGTTCATGTTTGGCATTGTTACTGAATGAAGACTGAGGGACCTATCTGTATAGGCAACAATGTGGTGGTATATTAGAGGTCAGCCTTTTTTTGAAAGATGACGTGTGATTTGATTTATACTCTCAAGGCAATGCATCATGATAGCACATACAGCATCTATTGGCTTCTTATAATTTGCCAAGTAGATTAGCAAAGGGCATTTAAGCACAAGAAGTGATATGTTGCTTGTGCAGTTAAGGCTGTGTCAGTGGGGCAGGGGCAGAGAGATAGCTCATAACAACTTCATTGATTTGAGTGTCTGTGGAAAATATGCTTCCTTAAGGTGGGGAGTTATCATTTTGCATCCCGTGGGAGAACAATCCACTCCACCTGGTCTTCCAGAGCACGGAATGTTGTGAAATAACACTGGATGGAGGCTAGCAGAGATGAGTGCAGAATCAGACCAAGGAAAAGTTTGCAGACAATGAAGCGATGGTCAGGTCAATGCTCACTCAGACTTTAAATGAGTGAAGTTGAGGTTGCCCCTGTTAACCCTGGCACATCTCTGCACAGTCCTGATGTCTGGGGGAGCTGTTATGAAATCTGTGTCCTCCTGCTCCTCATACTCCCTCACAGAATTCTCATTCGAAGAAGTTAGCAGCTGATCCACATCCTCAATTGGCAATATTTCACATCTTTGTTATGCCACATTGGAAAGATACAGCAGATGCCAATAATCCTGGGCAGTCTCTGTGGAGTGGACCAAACTGGTCAAGGCACTGGAAGTGGGTATTTTCTGCTCAACCCATTCAGAGATGTTATTACACACCTTTGGAGCAGATAGGACTTGAACCTGGGCCTCCTGGCTCAGACGTATGGACACTACCACTGTGCCACTAGAGCTCTTTAGTTTGAGGAATCTTATAACGTGCTCCTTACTTGATCTTGTTGAGCACTGTGCAGTGTGAGAGGTGAAGACTGGAGGAAGGGTTTATCTTTTTTCCCTTCCGAATTTTGGTAACAGTGTTGGAACCCCAAAGCAGGCCTTCCACCAGAAACATTTTTACCATAAATTGTTTTCAGTTTCTGTGACAAAGGAAATGCAGAGATGTTGCACATTGCTTATAAATCCACTACCAGCACAATCGCACCCATCACTACTCCACCTGACTCCCAAGCCCTACAAAACTCTCCTTCCCCCAGTCTTGGCATTTCCAACTTGCTAGTGGCATTTAAATAAGGATAAAAATGACTCTTGCTTTGGCCCAAAATAGGCACCGACCAATTTTGTAATAACTAATTTGTTAACTTTCCATCCATTTTAGGTACAAGTCATATTTCTTCCCTCTTGTTTCAAACACAGTTATGTTCTTGTATCTTACTGATAGGCACTATGCCTTCCTGGTTTCACAACTTATTAAAACATATTAGAGACAAAAGTTAAATCATAACGTAAGATTCTGTAAGTGACATTAAAGAAAACAACGTGGAATTTGTGTTGGAGTGTGAAAACAGCTTCTGTGTACAGCTTTCAGAAT